CTGGAAAGTCCGGCTGCCAACTGTCCACTCCTGGAATGTCCACAGTGGTTAGTTAGGGCTGGAACATGAAGCTCTACCCATGATATAATCAGGTCTCGTTCTCTTTACAACTTCTGGTTCTCCCTTGATGGCTGATGTATGCCACGGCCGTTGTATTGTCAGATTTGACCGTCGTTAGTTGCTCTTGAAGTCGATTTGGCCTTAGATTCATAATACCGATTCACTGGCTTTCCTCGCTGACCAGGTCCGCTATATGGTTGAGGTCTCACGGACATCCCTACAGTCTTACAGGTTGCCATCATCATTAACATTCACTGCAGTGTAAGGAAGGACTTGAATGGCACCCAAATCAGGATCAGAGATCCACAAGCGAGCGAGATACTTGTCTTGGCCAACAGACATATGGGGCGATCCAGAGAGCGAGTCTGATTTTCCCATTCAGCCAGTTGCAGCAGTCTGGAGTGGAACTGAGCATGCGGTGCCACCTCAAAAAGGAGGCCACCATCAGGCTCAAGACCCTCATGAAGAATCTCAGCGAGGGCTCATCTTGGCCTGCATTTGTGACCATAGAGCCAGAACCACCTGGGCCTGGTTCACATGCAGGAGAAGACTCAGGTATTCTAGATGGGAAATAGGATCCAACATCAACTTCTGGAGGTTGAGGATCCACCCTAAACACTGCAGTGTTTGAATTGTCCTGTGAATATCCATACTCCGGGTCTATTCCAACTAGGCTTTCAGTAGAAGATCGTCTAAGTATCCCTCATCTTGGAGACCCTGAGAGTGCAGACAGGAGATAACACAACTTTTGTGAATATGGCTCTGGAGAGCCCTGAGGAAATAGCCACAAACTGGAAGTGTGCTTCCCCAAAGACAAAACAGAGGAAGAATAGTTACGGAGGGAAGTTTGGTAAATGCGTATGTCCACCAAAAGCAAGAAAATCTCCCCACTGAAGAAAGACAATGACTGGTCAAGTCAATTCCATCTGAAACTTGTTTAGAGACTAAATCCAGGATGGGACACACCCCTCTATTATGTTTTGGGACTGTGGATAGGTTGGAGTACAACTCCTGGATCTCTTGAAACTCACAAATGATCGCTCCAGATGTAATCAATTGCTGCATTGTCTTCTGCAGAGCTTCTTCTGCTTCCCTGCTGGGGGGGAAAGAGGGCAGATTGAAAGGCATCAAAGCAAGGAGGATGGTAGACTAAACTCGTTTGGGCAGGGTCCTCCTCATCTACTGTTTCTGTATGTCAATGATGCTTGTCTGGGTTTCTAACTTGTCTAGTCTAAACGACTGTACAGAGCTGCAGAATATGTTGGCACTATATAAAAAAAATAATTGCGGCAGGATAAAAACTAGTTTGTAACCCTGGGAATCTATTGAGAGTATCCACTGATCCTAGATGTATCGACTAGCAAAGGCCAACACAGCTGTCCATCCAATCATTGTTCGAATGGCATCAGGAGCTCAGAGTCCACGAAAATCTAATTTGAGTCATGTACCTTATACTAGGTCCAAACAGCCAAGGTCTGACATTCTTCTGTAGAAGCCACTACCGGTTGCAAGCTAGGGCCAACGAGGGCAAAAGAGGCCTTAAACAAGCTTTCAGGGTACTTATTCACAAGGTCTTTAAAAGCCGGAACATCCAGTACAGACAGCAATCTGTTAAAGCAAGAGATTGCCACATCTACCTGCTCTCTTCTTGAGTAATGTTCCTCCAAGGGGTATTGCTGTGCAAACCTTTTTATTGGAACAAATATTTTCTCAGGATGTTGCCAATTACCATAGAGCACCTTCTCTACCATGGAGTGTATTGAGAAGGTCTTAGAGGGGGTTTTATTTTTTCGTTAAGGGGAACCCATACTGATATCCTTAGGATAATCCTTCATAAGTGGGTCTTCTCGACTCCATGTGTCCCCATTTGACAGTGAAGTAATATGGCCACCACAAACTACTCGTAGGTGCACTGCACCAGTCCTAACATGGTTGACACCTGGTCAAATGTTGTGTAAGGCAGCCACAGGTATAGCCCCCCAAAAACTAGCACTTTTTGGCAGTATGGCTGCACCATGTGCCAATGTGAGTGGCTAACACAAGAACCAGTGCCTGAAGCAATATCACAGGCCGCACATCTCCCATCCTGGCAGAGTCTGGGTACGGCCCCGGAACTATTGCTGTGGGACACACAAGCAGGAAGCTGCAAAGTTACTGCTGTAGCTGGACGTAGCTAGAGAGAAATTAGCAGAAGAATCGTGGGAAATAAGGTATTTAAATTTCATACATCTCCCTCAGTAGACCATAACCTAAGGACATTAGCAAAAAAGAATTCAGGGAGTGGGGGGCCGATGTGACGATCCTCACAATCTGGCCAGTGTTCTCTTGATGATACCTGAATATTACAGAGTCTTTGAATGTGATTGTGAACTGCACTGTGTGACTAAGAAAAAAATGTTGCCTCTCAGAGATGAGAAGACATCCATTCACCTAGGCTGGGTTCACACCTAGGCATATTGAATATGCCCGTCTGTCGCGCAGTAAAAAAAATACTTGGCTGTATCCCAATGGAAACGCCCAACAAAAACGGCCCAAAGAAGTACATGTAATTGTTTGAGCGTAGGCCGTTTTAGACGGGCGGAAATACGGAAAGGTGTGAACCATACCCATAGAAAACAATTTGATTCTCATGTTTGTACGTTTTGTAGAGCGTTCATAGAGCTTTGAACGCGCAACAAAACGTAAAAGGTGTGAACAGGGCCTTAAGGACACTAGCAAAATCCTACGGCAGGATGGGAGTGGTAATACAGGGCTGTTGTAACAACTTTGCATTTGCCAGTGTCCAAGCACCTGAAGGTGGCATAACCAATTGGTATCAGATTTTCAGTCTGTGCCGTGCAAATAAGGATTTCCTTTAGTACACTTTTTTTTTATTGCAGGCTTACAAGTGTATAAAAAGGTGTGTAGGTGTGTGTATTCGTTTTGTCTTTATTTTGATAATTATAAAAAAAATATAATTAATAACTAGCAGTGTCCTATGGAAGCTGAAACAATTATTTCTGAATGAACATTTCCTGTTGAATATGCTTAATGTTATTGCTGACAGAGTGGTTATATGATAAGGAACCACACTGATTGGTTCCCAATCGTTAGTGGGGGGCCAACATTGTCAGTGATAGTGGAATTTGGCACTAGCAGCTATACAAAGTGTTGCATCACAAAAGGAAAGTCATTAAAATAGCATTCTAAGCGTAGGACATCATGCTGAGGAACATCAATCTACAAACTGTGAGGTAGGGTCTAATACTTTCTTGAATCAGACATAGGTCAATAAAATTAAAATGGTTCCACAAAACACAATGGTTGCTGTTGAATATCTATAAATTTCACTGGTTCACACTGGATGCTAACATAATAGCTCTCCTTTGAAACACACTTGAAGTCCTGAACCCTTGTTACACTGCAAGCAAAAAGAAACATCCGTACACTCCTTTGCTGTACAGTTTATTTTTTTCTTTACGAATAAGAGGCCAAAAAACGTATGTACACAGAGAATCCAAAGAAACCCAAAGCAAATCTGCATGAAGCGCAGTGTTTACCCCTTCACCCGAGGCTTTGGTTGTAGCATTTTCCAGGGCGCATCTACAGAATCTCTGTGAGGGTGGTTGCCTAATGGGAAACAAACCACATGCACTACTACTTATGCTGCATGCACCAGGCCGAAACCTCCTCACACAGTAAATAAAGATGCAGGGAAAGCATTGATGTCATCTTAGATGCCTTCCCTTTAGCCCATCCGTTTGAAGCCAAAATCAGTGGTTTTTATCCAGATGTGTTCTTTTGTTCCAGGTAAATACACTTTTTAGAATAGCAAACATTGCAAAGTTTATTAAACAAGGATACCCTGCTACATTCTCCACTTGCATGCTCTCATTAATAACTGCAGTCATACATAGTGTACCACGCCATCATGCATACTGCCACAATTAATTGCTCAATCCCAGGTGACTTCTCCTCCAGCCAGAGAATCTATGGCACAACCCGCATGTCATCCACCCACACAGTTGGCACAGATAAGTAGTCATTATGGTTGGCTGAAGATGCACACCAACCTGCAACATGTACTTGGTGGGTCTGAGAAATGCAATGCGTTTGCCAAAGCAATTGTATATGACAATGAGAAAAATGTTTATCATGCTGAATTTGGTTTTACAGGGTGAAGCAATAAATCACATATGGCCTCACTGCCACGCTTCTCCTTAACATTAAGAATACACTATGAGGCCAAGCTTTCTGCAACCTCCCTTCAGTAATGAGTGGTTAAAGCAACATGTCATGTACAAAGGTGAAATATTGGCTGCGCAAGGCTCTGCATCAAGCTTAACATTTGTAAAGCACCCCAAAGTGATGTTTTCATGGCTACTCATCACACAAGGACCAAAGCAAACTAGTTGAACTGACTGTTCTGTATATATTACACTTTTGCTTCATTCATCAGTGGTTTACAAAATGATGCCAATGAGCCAGTAGAATGTTCCATACCTATGACATAAGATGCTGCTTGTTTTCCTAACCTCCTCTTACGCACTTGCTAGAACAGCAAAACACACTGCCAAGGAAAGCAAGAAAGCAGTTGAAAGGCATATATATGAATATTACACTCATCTTTACATAAATCCCTCTGCATTATGCTCCTCCACTCCACACTTTTAAAATACACAATGAATGCTGTATCGATCCATTCCTATTCACACCCCTCCCCTCCCCCAACATGGAGTGGTCAGTGCCCCTCCACGGCATTAGACATAAAAGCACTGCACTGTTGCATTTTATTGGTTGTTTCTGTTTGAAATCAAGGCATATTGTTGTTTTAAAACTAAGGTACCACCTATGCACAGATTAGATTGTGTGCTCGATCTCTCCAACAAGTTTATGTGCAAATATGCTGATGGAAACCAGAATTTTGTGGGTTATTTTTTCATTTTCTCTGCAAGCATGCCATGCATTGCATTAAAAAAAAAAAAAAAGGAATAATAAGAGAAAAATATTAAGTACACGTATACCATCTTATCCAAAACCCAGACTATTAGCTCTACACTCGCTTGAGATTCTACAGCCTCCTTTGTTTTGATGCACTTTTTTTTCTGCCCAGATACTGTGATAATGAGCAAGTCTCAGTCCCGTGCTGATGCAACATGGAGAATTAGGGGTAAAGAAAATCCATCCTGCTCTATAAATGTGCAAGGGAGGGAAAGAAAGAACATAAAAAGGTAGTTATGCATTCATCTTAACCACTGAGCTGCAGCAGGATAAGTGCAGCACCTGGGTTCTTCCTTCAGGAAAGGGGTTACACTTGGACTAAAACTTCAAATGCAATGGAATAAGGTGAAACTGTTCGGGGTAGAAGTAAGGACGTTGCTCGCAAAGTCCACGGGATGCTGAATACTCTCGCAGCAAGCTCTGGGTTTGGGCTCCTCCCTCCTCCCCGCCCCTTCCCACTTCAGGGTTCTTGCTGTGTGGGTCTTTTCAGATCCCGGATCTGTTTCACTAGGTAGGTTTTCTCGTCGTTAAATTGCTCGTCTTCAGTGCGGTCATTCTGAAACTTGCTGAGGAATTCAATAAGCTTGCTCTGGTTCTTGAGGAGAATATCCAGGACAGGCTGCGTTTTGTTCGGGTTGGCTACAAATACCTGTGGATATGGGTACAGTGAAGCCAATTAAAAGAGAAATTATGCTTACATAAACTAAAATAAAAAGTGAAAATGTATTAAAGCCACAATTCGGGCAGATTATTAATTTCCACACAACACACTGTGATTATTAAACGCTGGGTGTTACATGTAGAGGGCGACCTCAATGTAGAAAAATCTTATCTTGCAGCACATAGCCTCCCTCACAGAACGTGGAGCGTCCAGACATTGAAAGGAGGCAGCGATGCATCCCGAGCTATACAGCACTCTGGTCTCATCACCCACCCCTCGTCACTATCCCTTCAGAAAGTAAATTGTATAAGAGAATGAAAGACATGCAGATGCCACGTATCCATGGGACACATTCATGTTTTAACTGTTTTATGTATATTTCTTTTTTTATTGCTATTCCAAATTTTGTTCCATTGTGAGTAGGCACAAATATGCCATGATTTCTATAGACTGACTGTATTTATTTCAATGTAAGTTGTAATCGCAATCCTGAGTGGTCCTAGCTGGACTGTGCTATTGCTGATCAATATTACTATCAGAATACAGACATTCCTCGGTTACCGACTTACCTGCTTTGCGACCACTCGCACTTATGAAGGGCCGCCGATCGACCTCCGACCTTGCGTGTCAGCACGACGTGTCGCCGGCGGAAGTGATCTTCACTGCGGGACCCGGTAAGTATTTTCATTGCCCGATGTACAGTACACTGTTCGGTACTGTACATCTGCAACACTATACAGTACAGTACTGTATAGAGTTCCTCACTTAACGACCAATTTGTTTAACGACCTGGTCGTAGGAACGGAACTCGGTCGTTAAGTGAAGAATACCTATACTTCAACCACACCCCTCTTATTGGATATTAAGACCTCTTATGGTTCCCTCACTTTTCTGATTTGCATACTCCTTTTAGGTCCATTTCTCAGAAAGTACTGAAACAAGTGGGTTAGCATGTCACCCAGGCACCTAGCAGTTTCATAAAGTCAGCAATGATCGCCTCTATATTTCTCTACCAACGGGTTCTCTTTTTTTTTTTTATCTGCATACAATAGACACAGATTTTTGGTTTAGCTGCACAGATTATCCAAAGATAATAAATAATAGGATTTACAATTATTAAATAATCTTAGAGAACATAGTGCCTAGCCAGGAAAGATCATTATATCCTGGCTGTGCTTTACAGCTTCCTCGGTCACCTTCCTGCTCATTAGACAGCGTGAGAATGCTGAATCTTTGTTTAAAGCGCAGGCTGCAGATGAACACGGGGCATTGCCTATATAATTATGCAGTGTAGTAGGGAGTAGCTGAACACAAATTACAAGTGTACCAGTAATAATGTAATCACCTTAAACACATGGAAAGCTTCAAACTGAATGTTGCGGCTTTTGTCACGCAGCAGGTTCATCATAAGCTTAAGGTTTTCAGGTTTACTGATATACTTTGTCATGATTGTGAAGTTGTGTCGGTCCAGCAGAAGTTCACCAAGGAGCTGCAAACAAACAAAAAAACACGAGTAATGTAATGGGAAAAGGTGGAAAGGAAAGAAAGGTGGAAGATCAAATGAGAGGTAAGTGAGAAGATTGTGGTATGAGAGAGAATACAAAAGCACTGAACACCACTGAAAACAAAAAAGATACTCAGGAGGTCACTTTGAATGAAAACCACATGCCTCTATAGGCATCATTTGAGAACAAGAGTGTTCACAAAGCACTATGATTCCATTAGTATGGATTATAGTGTAACTCCAAACCAAACTTTTGATTAACTGGGAAAAAGCATATTTTATGTTTTAAAGGAGAACTATGGGGTTAGGGCTTTTCCGCATAGTTCTCCTTAGGGTAACGGGAGGACACAAACTAGCGTCCTCCCGTCACCCTAGGCTCAGTATACCACGAGCTGTAGCTGGTCTACTGAGCTGACCTGTGACAGTCTCATTGTCACAGGTCGGCTAGAACTATGAGGTGAGTGAAAAGCACTCCTCATAGTTCTCCTTTAATTACTGTCTCTGTCCTCCTTAAAAGAGAACTATGGGGTAAGTGTTTTTCCCCATAGTTCTCTTAAGGGTCACGGGAGGACATAAACTAGCGTCCTCCCATGACCCAAAGCTCAGTATATCGCGAGTTACAGCTCACGGTATACTGAGACCGCCGCAGCTGGGACATTACTGTCGAGATCCACCCAGTCAGCGCTAGAGGATCGGAGCGGGGAGGGGGGAGATACCCTGCAGCGAGCGTTGGCTGACAGTCACGGCTCTCTGCAGGGAAATGAACGAGAAGTAAGCGAGCGACGTTATGTGTTTGCTCAGTTCCCGATCTATTGAGGCGACGTGTGAGTTTCATTGTCACACGTCGGCTCGAACTATGAGGGTGAGTGATTTTCACTCACCTCATAGTTCTCCTTTAAGGAAGAATTTTCCACTACCAGCAATGATATGCCCCTTATGTAGACAAAACTGTCTGGATAGAAACATTGATTAACCTCTTGCCATCCGCCCGTTAAGAAAAAACGGACGGACGGCTGACTCCTATCTGCGGGTTGCCGTCGTCAGACGGCATTTCTTTCCTGCTCGCGCGCGCCCCCTAGCGCGCGCGCACGGGCAGGAAAGGCCCGCTTGTTACTTCAGCCGTTAACGAAGGTTTAACACCGCGGATGTCAACTGGTTAAACCCTTAGCACCAAGTCACTGCTTAGGTGCCCATTCCTCTGCAAATATGTACCGTGGTAACCCCTCAACTCCCAGTCCTCAGGCAGGTATGTTAATCTCTCAGTACCCAGCTAATGCAGGTTAACCCCTCAGCACTTAATGTCCAGTGCATGTGTAATAACCCCTTTATGCCTAGTGCGTGTGTTTTAACCCCTCAGCAACCAGTGCATGTGGGATAAGCCCTAATATATATTCAGTGTACCATGCCAAATATTAGTATCTTCTCCACTGACCAGTGGGAATCACAGATACCCTTCCCATTTGCAATTTAAACTTTCCCTGGCAACAAAGCCCTGCCCTGTCTCCAACGTCCCCAGTACTACCTCCACTCTTCCTGAACTCTATGACACAGTACTTACTAGTAACCTAATTAAATGTTGGTCTCCTTTTCAACCTTCCTTGTGTCAAATTCCACGGACAGGAAATCTCCTCCTGTTCCCGTTTCAGTACCTTTCCCACCTCGTTCACAGTCTATGTTGCTGCTGATACAATCCCCACCACCTCCACTGTCCCAGAATATTAGTCTTAAATTTAAACGGGCTAATTTCCTGGACACTGATTAAGGTTTATTGCTCCTCTGTATAAACCTTCCAAGTGAAGCGCTCGGCTCCCATGCTGCTGCTCTATAATTACTCAATTTTGTGCCAAATGCATCATAGGGCACATTTCTCAGCCCGTTACTCACCTGTATGACTATGACTATATTTTAAAGTGATTTTGTTACTCATTATGAAAAGAACAGTAACCATGTGAGTGAAAAGATTAACTGTTCTTCCAGCTGTCATACCCTCCACACTATTTTGCACATAATGCCTTGTCATACCCTCCACATAGTTTGCGTATAGAATATCTGCTGTCATACCCTCTGCACTCCTATACCGCATATATTGCCCTATGTCATACCCTCTACAGCCTTCTCCTACATATACTTGACCACGGCCAAATATTTTCCCCCTGTAATATTCTCTGCACTCTTCTCCTGCACAGAATTCACACCATAATAACATTCAATGCTTTCCTGCATATACTACCTGCTGCCATACACTGCATACTCTCCATCTGCACATATTGCCCCCAGCATACCCTCTGCAGTCCTTTCCTGCTCATATAGCTTCCCATTACACAATCTGCAATCCTCTTCTGTACATACTGCCTGCTGTCATACCCGCCATACTTCTTACCTGCACATACTGCCCTCTGTCATACCCTCCGCACTGTTCTCCTACACATACTCCTGGGGTCATACCAACAACACTCCTTTCCTACATAAACTGCCCGCTAACACATCTCTTTAGCATTGTTTGTTATATCCCTAATCTTTCCCAAAAGGTACACTTTTGCACACTTGAAAATGCTCTACACATACCTTCAAAGACTGTCTCTTTGTCACATAGTTTTCAGAGTGCAACAACTTTTCATATTCACTGAAGAACTGAAAAAAAGCATTCACAAAGTTTGAAACCACAAAGAAAGTAGAACGGCACTGTACATGAAGCAGAAACGGTATTGTACAAAAACGGGAGTGTTATATGAGAAAGCATCAATGGACTATGATTGTAACAGATGCATTAAAATGGAATGGTTTATAAATGCTCAGGAGCAGGTTTACACTGACAGCTAAGGGCTGCTATTTAACCCCTTGCCAAGTATGTGAACAGCCGGCCGATCGCTTGTATGACCATGCACAGTGCGGGTCTGTGATAGCAATAAAGTTTAAGTGAAAAAATGAAAAAGTCTCATATTTAAAAAAAATAAAACACCAAAAAAAGACCCCTGCACTTATAAAACGTGAATACAGGTCAGGTGCGCCTATGTGCGAAAACAAATATTATGCCACACGTTACATATCGACGCGAACGTCGGAGTGTGACCAATAATTTTAGGGCCATTAATCACTGATAACACTTCAGACAGGTCACTGTATTGGTGCTGTGTATATATATATATATATACACATACAGGGCTTGAAAAATTTGACGGTGTCTCACCAGTCAGTCAAAAATTTCACCAGTCAGCATGACCGGACTATAGCCTTGCAATTTATGTTAAAACATTTTGGATTATTGTATTTACAGCTTACCTTGTCGTAATGATTCTCAAGGAACTCAGCACTCAGGAGCTTATGTCTAGTCAATAGGTCCTGATAAAAAAACAAAAGCAATTCATACTAAATAGAAGATACCAGAACTACCCATAATACAACTGCAGCCTACTAGACCTTTCAACAAGGAACTTTAAATAATACAGCTCTAAAAGGAACTCCAATGATGCTGTTTTTATGGTTCACAGAACCACATAGTGAGTAAGCTTATTGTACACAAACTCACTGCTGATTGTAGGCTGATGCATACAGACTTAAGTACAATTGGCTTGCACTCTTCATTTAGTGTTTCGGGCTTTGCATGATGGATCAATTATTCACCGAACCTTATGAATATCTGGCTTGGGCCTCCCCCCATGCAAAGTGTTACTCTTTTTCGAATAGTCAAATATTTTGGTTATGTAGCCAAGAACAGAACTAGATAGGGGTGAGGGGTCCTATAGCATTGCTTAACCAAGAATATGATATTGCTTAGACATGAACTATGAATTCACATTTGAGGTTTACAAATCTTGTGGTGGGTTAAACGCAACACATTTGTTTTTTGCTAGGTAGAGTGTTACTTTAATGTATACACTTAAGGCAGGCATCAATGTTCGTGTACTCTGTAATCAATGTAATACCTAACAAAAAGGGGATACTGTGTGGTGAAAGGGGGTGTGTGATATCAGGTATCCTTGTCCCTTGGACTCCAAACAGAAGCTTACCTTAAATGTTGCAAAGGCATCTGAAGCGATATCAAACGTCGACATCTCCACATATCGGAAAAAGTCATAAAACTGCTCGGAGCCCAAAATGATTTTGGCAAGTGGTTCGTGCCTAATACATTCCCGCAGCATGATCCCACAGTTCAAAGCAATTTCAGGAGACTCATACCTTCAGGAATAAAAACCATCTAGTTACTAACCAGTAAGTATACAGATACAAAAAGGTTTTCAGAGCTTTTCAGTGTAGTTGATCATTGTTTCTAAAAATTAAAAAGTACTGTATATTAAAATGGCCGCACACCTTCAGATTTTGAGCTCACCAATAGCTGTGAAGGCCAAGGGTCTACCAGTGCCCATAGACGTGATGACCCTCCCCCCAGGATCCAGCAAAATATGTCTATAGGGCTCCGGGAGACAACTGTGGCTGAGGCGTCTTAGGAAAAGTGCTCATAGGCCTTTAGGAAAATAATCTGTGCCTGATGAAGGGGACCCTGTGCGGCCCTGAAACGTTGCTTCAATGTGACAACATGCGGCAAAAAAGGATCAACACTTGACCACGTTGTCCGGTGTGTTGGTGACATTTTGCTTTAAGTCAGGAAAAAATTAAATCACAGATCCTTTACCAATCAGCATGGCAATATTTGGAATACACATCAATCAAGAAGCAATGTAGATTTATTAAGTCTGACTTCAAAAAAATGACTATAGAAGGCAAGCAGCACAGACAGAACACTAATCGCAAATAATGCCTAATTAATAAATACAGGGAATACAAGAATACTAGATTTATCTTATTGTTTATCTAATGACAGCTGCCAGAAGACATCTACCACAGTCACCATTGCTGTATCACTGAAGCATTTAGAAAAGTCTCCAATGTCCTTTATCTATTAATGAGAGAAAAACAGCAAAGAGCCAGGGGTTTGTCCAATGTATGGCCCACAGACCATTACTCACTGGTCAACAAGGCACAATAGGAGGAAGCCTTTTCATTGTTAAGCTGCAGGTTGAGCAATGTAGACGGCACATTCAGTACCTAACCAGGTCATACAATGTGTACTGTAGTTTATGAACGGAAATATATCGGCGCTTCTTCTGCCCCCGTGCTTGCTCCAGTCTGATCTCTCTAGTAAAAACAGTTCTTCTCCCTGCTGCCTGTTCTCCCTGTTGACTTTCCTCCTCCTTGACCATCTAACACATCTAACTCCTCATCTGCAATGCAGCACAACAAGCTCTATAAATTGCTTTATTTTAAAGTTAAATGGTAAAACATCTTGAATTTGTGTAGCTAGTGTAACTGAACAATAATACAGCAGCAAACTCAAACCACTTTAACCATTATTGTAGGCCATGCAGGGTTCCAATACCACTTACAGTCACTACAGCAATGCATTGGCTGTTCTGGCAGTGATCCACATCTTTCCACAACCTCCCTTCAGTTTACTGATACCTTTCTATCTCACACCATATGTTCAGTGGTTGAAATCCATCATTCAATCAGAACTAGAGCAGATAGAACCAGACACACTAGTGCCTTATATCAATAGCCTTTATCAGAAGTTAACACTCTGCCACACTACTTCCTGTACATCAATTCAGGGACTTACCCAATATCCTGCCCCCACAATGAAGAAATAAACCACCGGTGTTACCAAGACCCACACTTTGTGAAACGCTGATCTAATATCTGTAGGTATTAAAACTTGAGCTGATCACCCAATTATGATGAAAAATAAATCATGATTTTTTTGTAATTCCTATTCTACATGCAGTACATACCCTTTCAATAACATAAAGAGAATATTCTGCTGGGTGCATATATATTCCACAGTTGGGGTTCGCGTGCCAATTTGTCTTCGTAAAATGTTGTTGAAGATTTGAGCCACATCCTTTTTGCCCTGGAAGGAATGTAAAAAACTGTATTGAATGATTGCATCTCACAGGGATAATCAGAAAAAATGACAGTGATGTTATTATATTACACTGAAAGCAACATTTTCCCTATTACACCCACACAAGCATAATGTCACGGATCTGAATTTACCAGCACTGAAGTACACCAGTAGGTACTTTAAAAAGTATAATACAGACAATACAAGGATATATCTCTATTGTAATGGAGAAAGGTTGTGAACACATTATTGAGCAAAGTAATGAGACAGACATGAAATTCATCTAAATTATAATGAATCTCTGTGGATAGAAACATAACATTTGTCACCACTGACATTTCTATTAAAATGTACCTTGACACTCAAAAATCAAATTCTACCAATGCATCCCTCTATGTGCGAGGCACATGTCAGGTGTAAAATGCTGTGATTATGAAATACTTACACATGCAGAGCATTCACTTCCTGCTATGAAAGGGCAAAATTACTTCAGTTTGGCAAAGCAATGCACACTGGGATTGTCTTAGCAGAGCATTGCTGCGAAACCTCATCTGTAATCTCACGAGATCTCAGGGAAAGGCATTTTCCTCCCCTGAGAGGATGTACGTAGTCACGTGCCCTAGTCACATGTGCCAGAAATAAGGTATGCAAAGAATATAAAGCCGGCAATTATCTAGAAGTAGGGATGTTCCGATACCACTTTAAGACCGAGTACCGATACTTTTTTAAAATACTCGCCGATACCAATTACCGATACAGGGACAGGTCACATTTTTTCTAAAGCAATACAAAATCATGATTTTAGGTCAGTTCCTAAATATTATGAAGAACATGAAATTAATATTTATCATGCCATTCCTAACTAAGGCTTGTATGGCCCTAGTGGGGAAAATAGATGAGCACATGTCCAGACCAGAACACTATAGTGTGGCACAGCTATATCCAATTCTGCATACCTGGCTTTATATTATAAAAACTTTATAATATAACCAGGACTGCATAAAAACTTAATATAAAGCCAGGTATGCAGAATTGAATATAGCTGTGCCACACTATACAGTGTTCTGGTCTGGAGTCTGGACACATGCTCATCTATTTTCCCCACTAGGGGGATACAAGCCTTAGTTAGCAATAGCTACATAGCTATTTCTTTATTTAATGTCTTTTTAAAAAAAAATATTATATGCAGTTAAACAGCACAACAACGGGTATCTTAACCCTAACAAAGAAATCCTCATATTTGGTCCCTTTTGTTCTGTTAAATATACAACAGGTGTTTGTCACATCTGTTTGGTCAGTTCAAAAAATACCTATTGGTCTTGCCTGAAATCTGGTGGCATGAGAGCTTCCTGCGCTCTGTGCCCTGTGTCTGTATGGACTATTATCACTCACATTATTTTTAGTTCATTCTGAGAACTACATGACCACACCTCCCTCCCCCAAGTTTTGGAAAGGAGAAAGTCTTGTAGTCCTCTCCAGTTTAATTTGTTCTAATAAAGTAGATAATCATAAAATTACCGGCACTCCAAGTATTCAAGTCAATCAGTTTATTGACCCAACTGAAAACGCCTCTAGCAACGTTTCGGGATCATGCGGCCCCTTCCTCAGGCAAAACATAGGGTTTGCCTGAGGAAGGGGGCCACATGGTCCCGAAACGTTGCTAGAGGCGTTTTCAGTTGGGTCAATAAACTTATTGACTTGAATACTTGGAGTGCCGGTGACTTTATCATTTTGTACATTTTTGACAGAGGCATCCGTTGTTGGTCAGGAGTGTGATGGGATACTTGGACTTTTATTCTAATGAAGTAGGGTAAGTGACCGTTGTTATCCTAAGGCAGGAAGTATGTTGCTGGCAGAACCACCAGGACTGCAGTAAGCTGCAGTATCCAACAGTTTTTTGGGTTTAGAAATGCTTTAAAAGGAGGAACTTTAGCCATGTCTTTGAAACAACAAAAAATACATATTTAGAAATGTTTAGTAATGACAATCTACATTCAGATACTTCTACATAATTGCCGGCTTTTTATTCTTTGCATACCTGGTTTTTCTTTCCCTCCCCATTCTCCTCACAGTGGTCATTTTTAACAAGGGCAGATTACTATATATCCCTTTACTTCCTGGAACTCTAGGACATGTGACCATGTACATCTCAGGGGGAGGAAAATGCCTTTCACTGAGAACTCATGAGATTACAGATGAGATTTCCCAGCAATGCTCTGCTGGTTTAACCTTCCCAGGATGCAATGCATGGGTACATTACTTCACTAATGCCCAAGAGGACCAGAAAGTGGAAAAACAGTAAATTATAAGTAAAAGAAAGAGCTGCATGTTGAGGTGATTTGTAGTGAGGAGGGGGTTAAAGGTCCACTTTAAGTTCAGCTAATCCTTAATTCATTCACAGAGAAGGGTGTCACTATAACTTATTTTCACATTCAGCAAGTGCTAAGTGAAGGAACTGCACACTTTTCTCATAGAACACGGATCTGTTGGACTATTGAAGACATAAATAGTAACCCTAAAATGGATCTCTCTGGCCACCAACCGTGCTATATTGTCAATTGTAAAATGAATCAACATAGTCACTGTATTGTCACCTCAAAGTCTATAAGCTGCAAGTCAGCCACCAGGGTTCCCAGAAGTCCGCTGTTGTACAGTTCCTGAGCTAGCTGGGCCACGGCTTCAGTCTGAGGTTCCTTCTCATTTGTGCCATACAGGATCTCCTTCATAGCCACAAGATTTTTTGACACTTCTTCAGTTGCCTGTAAAATTACAAGGAGGGGGAAAAAATATGGTAAATACAAGAATGTGCTGATGTCATAATTAAGAGGACTGTGTTACTTTACATTTCTCAGTCCATGTTACATGTTGAGAAGTTCAGTATTCAAGAGCGGTCAAGTCCCCAGCACCACAGGATTCAGTTAAAATACCTTCTGTAGACAAACCATGCAGACAGACACACTTAAACATGATGACGTCTGGATCGTGACCTCCTGTAGTAGGTTAGGTTATAGGAGAGCCTGTTAAAACTAAAATCTTCATAATTTGGAGGAAGAGGGTTAGTGGGAGGAGAAGATATAAACAGTGACTAAAAACACAGACTCAACAGCTGATAAGCCTATATAGTGCACAATCCACTTAAAGATACTTGACTGCTGGATTTACCAGATACGCTTGACTGGACATCAGAATAATACTCCCTAAAAATATATTTTTATAACCATAGTCTTAAAAGTAAGCCAATATGGAGGAAAAGGAAACAAAACAAAAAAACTGCATAGCTTTACCACCAGAACCTGCCCTCCTTATGAAGTATTTGGCTTACTTTAGTTTTCTTAAAAGGAGAACTATGACATGAGTGATTTCCACTCACCTCATAGTTCTAAGCCGACCTGTGACAATGATACTGTCACAGGTCGGCTCAGTAGATCGGGAGGTGAGAGAACACATACCGGGTTGCCTCACCTCTCGATCCTGTCACGGCTCTCTGCCGTGACAGGGGGAGGGGCTGGATTCCCCTCTACCCGCTCCGATCTGCCAGCGCTGACTGGTGGAACGGACAGGGGAGGGGGCAGGTACAGCTGGCTCTGCCTCTAGATAGGCAGAGCCAGCTGTCACTCACGCAGCTGGGCAGATCCCGTCATCTAAGTCGGGATCCGCTCCGGCTGCGGCGTCTCAGTATAGCGCGAGCTGTAGCTCGCGGTATACTGAGCTTAGTGTAACGGGAGGGCGCTAGTTTGTGTCCTCCCGTTAACCCAAGGAGAACTATGGGGGAAAACACTGACCCCATAGTTCTCCTTTAAGCACTAGTAAATCCCCCGGTCGGGCCATTTAAAAGTACATCTAAAGCAGCGGTCCTCAAACTGAAGCCCACGGCATGCAGTTTTCTCAAAGCACATCAGGGGAGCCACTGCAGTGTGCCAAGTGCTAGAACGCAGAGAATTCCACCACCGAGCAATCTATTATGGGTACTAGGGGATGAGTGATGCTCTACCCGATAGTTCCTGTATAATCCTGGCCAAGTCCAGAAAGCAGTGGACAGGGCTAGGTGTGGTCAAATCCTGATTGACAAGCTACATGCTTCTCATCCCATTGTGGATCACGCAGGCCACAGCCTTCTAAGGCTTCCTTGTATAAGAATTGCTGGGTGTATAGCTATACTTATTGGTAATGGTTATTGGTATAGTTGGATTATTGCGATTGTGCTTCCAGACAGTATGGGAGATGGTTTTTAATGGTAGTCACTACTGGTGAGAATATTGTCTTCTTTGAAATGTTATTTGGTTTAAGTATTTGCAATGGTCTTATTTACGTTTTATTTATTTATTACTAAGGATGCACCGATATATCAGCCGACGATACATGTCGGCCTCAAATGGCACTTTTGGCATAATGCCGAAAGTGCCATTTTCAGGCCCATACAGCAGCGCATCCCTGCTTTCTCTCCTCCCCGCTGGGCGCTGCTCTGTGTCCCAGCGTGGAGGAGAGAAATTGCTACAGGCGGCCAAGCGCTGCCTGAGGAGAGCGCTGTGAGCGGCCGGTATCTCTCCTCCCACACCGCTCCGCCTCCTGTGAGAGATTGGCAGAGCGTTGTGTGGGCGGAGACAGCTCTCAATGCTGTCACAGGAGGCTGAGCTCCGCTGGCTCAGCGATCACTGAGTGTTTGTACATAATTGGGGACATGGTATGGTTACTATATGCTTAATTATTAATACATGGCAAGTGATCTACATCACTTTCTGTTCATTCATGATTGTGGGTATAGCAAAACACACTATATCCCCATGTTATAAATGAACAGGAACACTCAGTATAGAGGCTCCATGTTCATTTATAACAGAGGATACATTAAAAAGAGATTGAGGACACAGAGTCCTCAATCTTTCTATTTTAAAAAGGAAAATATCAGGGGTCTGTTTAGACCCCTATTTCCCCGAAGCCCCTGAAAAGTAAAAAATATTTAATAAAACATTTAAAAAGTTTATAAAAAAATAAATTTGAAAAAAAAACTGAAAAAGATAAAATGGAAAACATTTTCGGTTTTGGCCTGTTTTATTTCGGTTTAGTTTTTTACATTTTCAGTTTCGGTGCACCTCTATTTATTACAGGCATTTATAGATCGCCAACAATTTATGCGGCACTTTGCATAGTGCACAATTCTATCTCGCATGCATGCATACATACATACAGGGCTGATTTAGACAGGAGCCAATTAACCTTCAGCCATGACTGTAGGAGGGAACCCACGCAAACACAGGGAGAACACGCAAACTCCTTGCACATAGTGTACTGACCAGAATTGGAACCAAGGAACCCCAATGCTGCAAGGCAGAAGTGTTAACCACTAAGCCACTTTGCTTAGTGTTCCTAGTATATATTGGTTGCCTACCACCCTTGAGGTGAGTTGTGACTAATTCTTTATTAGCCCAGTGATCTGTTTTATGCAGTTTTTGGAAATTAAAGCTCAAACCAATCTATTGGCTCTAACTTGATATTTTGCTGCAGATTAGGTAATGAAGGGAATCATATGATGTATAGCTGGAGGTAAAGCTGCTGCTTTTTCCTTTTAGCCAATAAAAACAAAAGGTCAGGCCACTTTCCTGGAATATTAAACGATGCATTGCATGTTACAGCAAACAGAGGGCCTCTGCCTTTAGAACTACATGGGCAATGGCCATTAACACTGTTGTCCAGTCAAAAATATGTGCCAGCTACTGTTCCTGTTACTATTATTTTTGTGTTTTTAGCCACATCATACCATGTTACAATGGGGAGAGGGGGGGTACATAAATACTTGAAGATACACCCCCATGAGGCAGTGTTTCCCAAGTCCAGTTCTCTGACATAACAGTGCACATTTCCCAAATTTGTTGTTAACACAAGTAAAAAAGAAAAAAAAAAAAAAAAATCAATGTATTTTATTTAACCATTACTAACACACCAGCACTCCTATAGAGATGTGGGAAAAGCACGCACTGCTACTAGTGAACTGGATTAGTAAACAATGAACCAAGATTCCAAGTTCTATCCTTTCATTTATCCTATGTCACATATGTGACATTGGTTGATTGTCCCATGGAGAGGTTAGTAACGCCATTACAGTAAAGACGTCCTCCACCAGAAGATCCTACAAAGAGAACACTGATAGAGGGCACATATTAACCGATAAAACTGCAGTTCTGTCCATCTTCTGCTTTCCAAATGAGCTCCTTTTTTTCCAGGCTGCTTTCTTTGGGTCCTTGTTCCTGCTGCTAATATGCATGTCATCAGAAGCATACGTGGTAAGAGAGATGTTTGAACCAGAAGTGGGACGGGTTAGAGAATTGGATTGGAGTGTAGGGGAGCGGTGAGGTAGAAGCAGCTGCGAAATAAAATAGCATAAAAAGCAATATATAAAATGCACACATGAATAGGCACAAAAGCAGGAGAACTCCATCCAAGTTACCAAGGCGGGGGGAGGGAAAGTTAGGGGAGGCATGTCCAATGCCCCGTAGCAATAATCTTAGTTGGAAGTACCACAGAACATTGACCTTCAGTCTTTTATCAAGAGATTGTGTTGCTAAACCTCCCTATAGATTTGAATGGGGAAACCTGTCAGCACATACAATGGAAAGATGTAGTTAAGATGAAACATTTCATTTAAAAAGTTGACTGCAGCAGCAGCTGGAAAGCGGAGGTAAACAACTTACTATATGCTTCACCTAAATGCCTCCACCAAATGTATCAATGATTAACTACACTATGAAACTTGCTATTAGAGATACGTGGTAGCTACCACTGCTGACCTCATCTAAAAATTATGTTTGTCTAGTTAGAATACATGTTTCCATATTCTCCGAGATACTGCATACTAGAATTTGCCTGACCTGCATGCTTGTTGGTCCATGTCTCAGAATATACAGGAGTCAGAGACAGCCTTTGCAGTAGGAGGTCAACAATGACAGACCCCACATTTCCCTCATTGCAGGTTTATTTTAAAGCCAACCCTCCTCCCATCATAAAAAGCTGACTGCAATGCGAGCACACTCTGATACCTGCACTTACAACTGTGCATGGCCTCAGTGACAAAAGCTACACGGATATCAAAATTTCAATTTTTGGCCACAAACAAGTGCTGGTCCTGTTCCATCTCATGCAATGGGTTGGTACAAATAATGGGCAACTTCAATGTCAAAACAAAGAGTTGAGCGAGGGAGAGCCAACCCTCTGCTTTTGTCAAGGAAGTTTCTAAATAGACCCTCTGATTCCAGGTTTTAGTGGCTTCCCTGCCCTGAAGCAGCAGTACAAAAGGTAATTGCAGGCTCATGAGCATGCAAGCACTACAGTTAGGCTGGTAGTATGTAAAGCTTTCCGAGATGAAACATTGGATTATACACTACCAGTGAAAAGTTTTAGAACACCCCCATTTTTCCAGTTTTTACTGAAATTTACGCAGTTTAATGTCTCAATGTCCTCTGAAAATAAAGCACAGAACAAATAAACAATTGGGCATCCAAAAGAAACCATGGAATCGTTTTGTTAAAGAATATGTAATCTGAATTTTTGCCACCTTTTGTCGATAGAACAGCTGAACACACGTGTGGCATTCTTTCTACAACGGAAATCAAATATTGTTCGGAAACATTTTACCAAAATTGTTGCAGAAGTTCCCACAAATGTGTTGCACTTGTAGGTTGCTTTGCTTTCACCCTTCTGTCCAGTTCATCCCAAACCAGCTCGATGGGGTATAAGTCTGCAGTCTGTGCTGGCAATCCATGATTTG